AGCTGAATTCGACAAACAAACTATATTTTCAGGCACTGCTCCATGTAGAATACATAGCTCTATTTTTGACGGAAGCCCACTCACGTCAAGCAGCACAGAGCAGATCTCACTGGCAGGAAGTCGGACACAGAAACGCCATAGGGAATCTGGTCAATTTTCAAAATAAAATACCCTGTGCAAACTCCGGACTGAATTTCCCGCTACATGAACATAGTGGCACCAGACAAAAGGATATTTTAAGTGGAGAAACACACTGTTTTCACAAGTAAACAACGTTGGGGAGGCAAGACGCTCTGAAAACATTCTGCTTCTTCTTTTTAACAATCATACATAATTAATATGAGTTTTCCTTTCATTGTTCTATTAGCTCTTTGCTTGTTTCAACTATGTATAAATAATTGCATTTAGTTTTCCTCACGAAAATTAACAAAATGCTGAGATACAGTCCTACTGTGTATATTTGTCAATTTTTCTTACACCCCTTAAAATCAAGAAGGATGTGTAGATTTAGCAACCCCTACTAGTCAGGTTGGGAACTGCTGTACTAACCTGTGCTATACCATCATTTCAATCTCATAGTTCAATATGGTCATCAGGCACAAACAGAAAATCTGCAGATGTTCAACAAGACATTTTTACTACAGTTTTGTGGGAAAACCAGTGAACTCTCAACAAGACAACAAAGAATGTCCTCTCACCTGGTAGTATGATCCCTTAGCAGAAACCATCCTTAATCCTGCCAAACAAATTGGCCTGAATATCAGCTAATACAGCTCTGGGGATAGACTGCAGAATTATGACTAATTTACAGTCATAGTAAATATAGTGTGTGTGTGAGTATCCAGTGTTGTTTCGTTTGGGGTCAGAGACTCAAACGTAGAAGACAGAAGATGAACAAAATCCCTTGCAGCTGTGTAAACTGGAGAATTGTTCAGCATTGACAGCAATACAATCTTATCACTTCTTCTATATCAATAACTGGCCAATAAAATAAATCCAGAGTTCTTGTAAAGGGCCCTCTGGCTCTGGGAACAAACAAACCTGTTGTCAAATTTGTCATTGACAAATTACTGCTCTTGTGGTCTAAGTGTTATTTTGGTTCTTTTCCTTTCATATGGAAACCCTCAGAGCAAATTTGATTAGAATGGATTTTCACCCCTAAAATTAAACACACAAGTGTATTGCATCATTTGTGCAAAGTCCAACTGAAATTACAATTAGTCATTTCTCTTGGCTGTCAAAATCATAAAATGTGCTTTTTAAATGTATGTGTTTTATTACTGTTCAAAGTAATTAAATCTAAATTCTTCTTTATCTTACGAAGCCTCTGAGGGCAGGGCCTGTGAACACATTTGATCAAGCAAAGCACAGGCAGTATTTTGTTGAAGAGAAACAACTACACCACTTAGTATCTGAAGATTGACTGACAGGCCAGTTGGCTGTCTAACTTACAAACACTAGTGGTGAAGTTCTCCCCTCTGGATGTTTGCCTGGTAGCTTGTTCAGCAAGAAAATATGTAGGACAAGACATGTGTCTATGTTTACAGATAAAAAGGAGATATTCTCAGGGAAGCTAATGCAGCTATTAAAGCAACATTATGTAACTTTTGTAATTTAAAATAACAAATTCAAAATCATTTTGCTACACTGTTGTAATAGGCTGCTTCTGTCATTCCCACTCTCGCCTGTTCTTGCAAAATGTAACTTTGGTGTGCGGGTCGTGATAAGTATGTAATGCTTTATGCAGATGATACGCAATTGTATATCTCTGTTACGCCAGACTACCCCGGTTCTTTGAATGCTCTTTTATTCTACCTCACTGATATAAATATTTGTATTAGTATTTTTTAAACTAAATGAGCAGAAAAGTATAACATATGGAACTAAAAAAAAAAATTAAATACAGAGCTGAAGGGGGTGATATTCAGAGAAAGAAACAAATTTTGAGATTAAAGTCATACATTTACATGAAGAAAATCATAAAGTCTCTGAGATTCTAAAGTAATGCATTTACGAGAACATTTTGGATAATTCTCAGTCTATATTCTCAGTCTATAAAATTCTCTGATTATAGTCTAATTCAAACATTTTTGACAAAATTCTGAATATTTTCTTAGATTATAGTCAGACATTTGCAAGGAAAATTCAGAATTATCTGAAATTATAAAGTTCTATATTTGTAAGTAAAAAATCTTAAGATTTATATATAAAGATTATAAAGTAAAACAAATGAAAAAAAAATCTGAAATTCACAAAGTAAAAAAACTCAGCTTGTGCTTGGACAAAGTCAGTCTATATGATGACAGTAAATGCTGTGCATTTGTGGTTTTCGCATTAATTTGAATGGCCAGCATAACTTTTATACTTAATATTTATTAATAACCTATTTTAAAACGTTTTATACTACAACAAACAGTAAAATTTAACACCAACATACTGTGTGTGGAAGCAGCCACAGCAACTACGCAGGCAGGAAAACTGAACTAATGCATGATGCAACACGAGGAAAAGGGAGTGACAGATCATGGATGTGGGTGATAACCAGTTTATTATAGGTTAGAATTATGCAGTGAAAGTGACTGGGGGGTAGTTTTAAAAATTTTTCAATTAATTATCTTCATAACTCTAACTTACATAAATGAATTAATGTAAGTTAAGCCTTGATTTTGCATGTATATACATTTATATGATTTTGTATAATATCCATTTTAAATTAAGATATCTGTTACTGATCTTATCAGTTCTAAAGGTTTTTGAATATTCATGAAATAAAGGGGGAAGAAAAACCCTATCAGACACTAAAACCTTTAGAAAATATGTACTAAAAGCTTTTCTTTTTGGGAAACGCCCTGCTTGAAGGATCATTATTATTTTCCTGCATGGATCAATGATGGTCTCAAGACACATGAAACAGATCTGCCTTAAGCTTCTTACTATAATAAAAAATAGTGTGTTCTGTTCTGTAATTTAGAGAACAGATGTTAAATCTAACTAAACCCAGCGAGAGAGAGATTCATTTGGTCTCTGTGGGATTTTATTACATCGTGTAATATTTGGACTGAGAACACAGTGTTTGACTTCATGTTCCTGTTTGCCAATATCATCCTCAACATTTGGTCTTAATTCTAATGAGCAAAACTCAAATTATTACACAAATTACTGACTCTGATGTGAACCACAGCGTTAGCCTGGTGTTACTCTGCTAAAAAATACAAACAAATCAAAGTTAAACGAGGCAGATGTTAGCTTGGATGCAGTCTGTCATGGCGTGCTTGTCTTTGCACCCTGGGGCACTCCGGGTGGGTGGAGTTTTTAGTCATGTGTCAATGGGTGAAAATGGACCCTCTTCCCACTCAGTGTGTCTCAGGCTGGGAACAAGGTGGCGTGAACTCGTATGACATCACAGTGATCAGCCAATCACAACACACAAGAGGCCGTTTTCCCAAAATGTCTGCTAGCAAAGTTGTCAAGTTTGAGTTTTTTGTTGTTTTTTTTCTCATCCACTTAAAATCCGTTTGAGTCTTCCATAGACTTCGACCACAAAACATTTTGGGAAACACAGAGCCGATCACATTATGCTGGAAGCAGGAAGTCAATCAGCCAATCAGCTTTTAGCTTTACCTCCATCGGTCCTCCACTCTTGCTATTGGTTGGAAGAGCTTTCTACACATCAAACACAGAGGTAGATACAGGAACATCACAGGTAAGAAGATATTACAGAAACTTTCAGAGAAACAAACAAGGAATCATGTTTACATACAGAGTGTGTCGCTGTGTGTCGAGTGAGACTGACGGCAACAATCAGCGTGACCTCTAGTGGCTGTAGAGGTAGGGAGTCAATTACTTTTAAGGTTATATATGAGATTTCTACAGAGCCCCCCTGGTGACATTGGTTAAAAAAAATAATAACGCGTGGCCACACGCATTATCTTGTGGCCATGAGATAATTCACCTT